TCCTCCTCCTCGTCCTCCTCCTCCTCCTCCTCCCCCTTGATGCCCCCACCGGGCTCGCCCGTGGATCCCGTGGCCGGCGCGTCCTCGGCGAGAGGCCGCCGGGGGCGCTTGGCTTGTCTGCGCCCCTGCGGCAGGCTGCCGTCCCAGCTCGCGCGGGAGAAGGGGCACCACGAGGCCGCGGGGCGCGGGCTCCGACGAAAACGCTCCTGGAGGTTGCTTTCGATCCTGGAGGTGCTTTCGATCCTCTGGCGCGTAACGGTTGTGACCCAGGCCGAACCTTTCCCCCCCCTCCCCCCCCAGTTCTTTCCCCCCCCTCCTCCCTCCTCCCCTTCCTCCCTCCTCCCTTCTCCCTCCTCCCTCCTCCCTCCTCCTTCCTCCCCCTCCCTCCTCCCTTCCTCCCTCCTCCCTCCTCCCTTCCTCCTCCTCCTCCCCCTCCCCCCCCCCCCCCCCCTCCCCCCCCCCCCTCCCCCCCCTCCTCCTCCGCCCCCCTGCCCCGACGTGCACCCCGTCCGCGCGTTACCGTTGCCCGGAGCCCCCTCCGCCTGGGGTAACGACCATGACCAGAAATCTGAGTCATGTTCGCCTGTGACCTCCCAGAGCGCTACTCCAAATCCCTTATTAATCGACCCCCCCCTAAAAAACCAGACCCCCCTCCAAATGCGACCTAATATTCCGGACCCCCTCTTCGATGGGGCGCCTTCGTAAACCAGCCCCCCTCAGCTCCAATCCAAAGAAAGCGACCTAATAAACCGGACCCCCTTAATGACCAAAAAGGCACCTTAAAAACCGGACCCGGGGGACGATTAATAAGGGATTTGGAATAATCGCCCTCCAGACCTGTAGACATGGACTGCTTGAGATTCTGGGATCTGGCGTTGCGGGACGTTGCCACCTCGCAGAAACTCACGACTGCAGCCTCATACACACACACATCTTTCTGCCGCATTTTTCGGACCCGACTGATCCGTGATGGACCCAGGGCCCAGAACCAGGCGAAGACGGTCGGCGTGGAAAAAGTGCAGCGCCTTGAAATGTCCCGGTGCTTGGAGGCCGCCGGGGGGTGCGAACGGGTTGGGACCCCAGGAGAAATCGGCCAGGAGGGGCATGGAGCCAAATCCACTCAAGATCGGTCCCTGGACCCTTCCCGGGGTCCATCTGGTGCAGTTTTTCACCCCAGATCCGTTTCTGACAGTCTTGGGGCTTGAAAAAGGCCCCTGAATACCTTCCCGAATCCAGCGCCTCGAACCCAGCGCCTCGGACCTGCCGCCCCGCTTACTGGCCAGAACCAGTCGTTGGCCACCCCAGACCCTCCGCCAGTTCCGACGTGGTGCTGTTTTGCAGGTGCCAGAAGACGCACACACACAACACACACAAAAAACAACAAAACACACACATACACATACACATACACATACACATAGACATACACATACACATACACATGCGCATGCACATACCCATACACATATAATACATACACACGTGGAAGCAACACACACAAACACATACGCACACGCACACACACACACACACGGTGGATAACACATGCACACATGGTGGATAACACACCCACATACGAACACATATACACACATACACGCACACGAACAAACACACCCACACCCACACAAACACAACATAGACAAACACTCATTCACACAACACACAACACACAACACACAGCACAGAACACACAACACACACACACGCACACACACACACACACACGCACGCACACACCCACACACACACACGCACGCGCACGACATCACACTCACACTCAACACACAACACACAACAGTCTCACACACAACACACACAACACGCACAAACGCGCACGCGCACGCGTACGAACACATACATACACTCACGCACACAACACACACACACAACACACTCACAACACACAACACACAACACACAAACTACATAAGCAATTACACACACACGCACACACACACACACACACACACGCGCAAACACACACGCACGCATGCGCACACACACACACGCACACACACCACACAGAACACACACACACACACGCACGCACAGACAGATACAGAAAGGCACGCAGGCACACACAGACACAGAAAGACACACACAGACACACACAGACACACAGACACACACACACACAGTCACACAGACACTCACAGACACACACAGACACGCACGGACACACAGACACACGGACACACACAGACGCTCACAGACACGCACCGACACACAGACACAGACAGACACACAGACGCACACGCACACGCACAGGCACACGCACACGCACACGCACACGCACGCGCACACACACACACACGCACGCACACACATGCACACACACACTGGTACACACACAACACACACAACACACGACACACACAACACACGACACACACACACACAACACACGACACACACACACACGACTCACAACACACGGCACACAGCACTCACACATGCACGCGCACACACAGCACACAACACACAACACACAGCACACAACACACAGCACACAGCACACAACACACAGCACACGACACACACACACCACACGACACAACACACAGCACACACACACACCACACACGACACACACCACACAACACACCACACACAGCACAGACGGAAACACACCCGCACACAGCTGTGGCACAACTGCGCGCACAGAGGTCGGAGGCCCCGCGGGAGGGCGGAGGCATTTGACGAGGGGCGGCGGCCCGGGCCCGGGTGCTCAGGCGGGATTCGGTGGGTGCTCACGCGGGATCATGATCATCATCATCATCATCATCATCATCATCATCATCACCAGCATCATCATTAGCAGCATCATCATGCAGGCTTTGGTGGGTGCTAACGTTCGAAGAGGAAAAACAATCGGCAAACACATGAACTGTTGGCGCTCCGCGCGGTTTTCTTGGATCCGCGCTGGGGCCCCCCCTCGGCGGCGCCTCCGGCGCCGCCCCTCGCGCGCTCCGCGCGCCAGGGAGGGGGGTCCTCCGGCGCAGGACCGAGAAATCCGCGCGGAGCGCCAAAAGTTTATGATGATGCCGTTTTTTCTTCTTCTAAGCGTGGGGTTTGGCAGGATTTGGTGGGATTATGTGGGGTCGCAAGTGGGGTCTGGAGTCTGGTGGGTGTCTAGTGGGGGCCACAGGCTGCCCTCAACGAGGCGCCCGCGGGCGACCACGTGGGGCTCCCATGCCCGGCCACCTTAGGGGGGGGTGGGTCGGCGGCACCGCAGAGGCCTTTGCCCACGAGCGTAGACCGAAGAACCGACAACGGCGAAGTCATTTCTCGTTCTCGCTGGAATCCGCCGACCCAGTCGGCGTATGTGAGAGGCCCTTCGACGCGAGATTAGCCTAGCCCAGACTGAGAAACGCCAGCCTCCTTTGAATCGTCACCGTCGTCGTGAGGGAGATCGAACAGACAAGGGGGATCGAACAATGCCGAAATTATGTCGAAGGGTAGCCCCTCCCCTTGGGGGGTTCCCGGCGGGGGATGTCCCGGTGGGTGTCCCGGCCGTACGGCCTTCATAATACGAGCACGGAGCCTTTGCACCGTACCATGTGTGGACTCCCTTCAGGCCCCGCTCAATGCGGTAAACGGTGCACAGTTCTGGGCGCCGAAAAACTACGCAAAACTATTCCTGCGTCAAGGATCGACTATGCTTGAGGAGAGGCCAGCGCGGTACGGTGCACACACAAATCGTCCGCGGATTTCACCCCTTCCAGCCTGCGAGCCGCAGCCCCTGGTATAGACCGAAGGGAGAAAAAGTCTCTGATGGCTGCGCCCGGCCGCCTTAGCGGCTGGGCGCGTGCAAGGCGACGACGCTACAGTGCAGAGAGGAGGAGAACGAGGACGAGGAGGAGGAGGAGGAGGAGGACGAGGATGATGATGATGATGATGATGAGGAGGAGGAGGAGGAGTAAGAGGAGGAATAGGAGGACAAGAAGGAGGAGGTGGACGAGGAGTCGACGAGGAGGAGACGACGAGGAGGCAAACAACTGCATAAACATACAGTCGAGTTTGGTTGGGGTATTCTTGTTTCCTGTGTTTAGCGGCCCATGGCTTCCGCATTCCTATGGCAATGAGGTCCACAGAAGGGTCCTGTGTCCTCTCGCGTGTCCGATCCAATCAAACTCGACTGAAACCTCTTTTTCCGACGCCCGCATGGCTTTTGTTGGATCGACGTTGGGCCCCGCGGACGGTGTCTCGGGGGGTCTAGCGCCGATTCAGGAGATTCGCCTGGACCTCCGGTTGAGTACATATGTACATCGGAGGTTTTTTGTTCCCCCAGCACGGGTAGGGGGAGCCTTATCGAGGGAGATGGGTCTCCAAGGGTTTGGCGACTCTTCTCCAATCGACGTGTATATCGAGCCGCAGACGTCGAGATAGGTTTGCGTAGATAGGTGCAGATCCATACAGACACGGGTGAACCTAAACATATCTACAGAAGGTTCCAGACCTTTGGCACCATATATTTCCTGACGTGGACACCTGGAGGCCTTGATCCCTTGCCAGGGACCAGTTTCGAATCCTGAGTCGTTTTTGGATGCCCCTGGGGTCCGGTGAGGCCCTCGGGAGCCCGAAAATTGAAACATTTCCCGTCTTGATTTTGCATGGCCCAATGGCGTCTGGGTTTGGAGAGGCCTTGGACGCTCCAGCGTGAGTCGAGGGGCGGCAGCAGTCGTCGAGCCCCAAACGAAGGGGGCGGCCTCTTGCGCACAAGCGGGGCCGCACGCGCCCAACCCGCGTCAGACCCCTCGGCATCGCCTGCCCAGACATAGTCGCGTCGTGGACGAAAAATGGCGAGGGCAGGCTTATCTCGAAGAAGAAAACACGCTATAAAGATAAACTTTTGGCGCTCCGCCGGGATTTCTTGGATCCGCGCTGGGCTCCCCTGGCGGCGCCTCCGGCGCCGCCCCTGACGTGCTCCGCGCGCCAGGGAGGGAGTCCCGGCGCGGATCCAAGAAACCCGTGCGGACCGTCAAAAGCTTATTCTCATGCCGTTTTTGCTCCATTATTTCAAGCAGTGGCGAAGCGTCCCGGCTCGCTTATAGCCCCACCAAACAATGTTCTAAGAACCTCTTGTGGTTCCCACGACATGTTCTTAGAACATTTCTGGATGGGACTGTCTTGTTCTAACACATGGGGTTTATGTTCTGAGAGCATTGTTTTTGTTCCAAGATCCAAGAACATTTTTGGGTTCTAAGAACATTTCACGGTATGACTCTAGGAATGTCTTGACGGTCGGTCCCTGCTCCATTATCATGGCCGTGTTTTGACCTCACAGCCGGGGTGAACAGCGGCCCTGGCGCGGGGACCCCGCAGCAGCGATCGAGGCACAGCGGAGGCCGGGGTCTCCGTGGGGCTCCGCGCCTCGGGGTGTCGGGGCCGCGCGGGAGCGGGATGGCGCGCTCCTCTTCCTGCTCCTCCTCCTGCTCCTCCTCCTCCTGCTCCTCCTCCCTCCCCTCCTCCCTCCTCCTCCTCCTCGTCCTCCTCGTGACGCATTCATTTGACATGTAATGACCTGCGCACTCTCTGGCCACGGGGATCGAAGGCATTTCATCGGTCCCCAGGGGGCGCCCCTGGGCTGCGTGCCATATTTGGGGGTTGCCCCTAATGGGGCAGTGCGGCTCCGCCCGAGCGCAGGGGCCGTGGATAGGAAGGCGGCCCGAAGGGTACGCCACTCAGAGTTCTTCGCGAGGCCAGGTCTCAATCCAGTCGAGCCGCGGGTAACCCCGCAACCCACCGAACTCCAGGAGTCCAGTCCAGTCCAGTCCTCCTCCTCGTCCTCCCTTCTCCCCTCCGCCTCCTCCTCCTCCTCCTTCTCCTCCTCATCCTCCTCCGCGGGCGCCTGGGATGTGCTTTCCGCTCGTGGGGCTTCACCCCACCGCGGGGAGCGACCGAGGCCTGCCGGGTACGTTCCTCTGCAGGGGGAATTTTCAAAAGTAGTCAAACACATCGTAGGGGGACGATGTTTTGACAATGTTTGATCAGTTATGACAAATGTTTGACTGTTTGTTATTTTTCGTCCCCAATCCGCCTGCAGGAGGACATGTCCGACCTCAGCCTGAACCCAGACCCCCTCGCGCGGTGCAATGTGCACGACGCGCGGTTTTCGTTTTTTTCTGTTTTGCCTCCAGGGGGCCCTTCCCGGGCCTCGGGGCCGTCAACAAAACGACTCGGGAGCACGGGCCAGTCCCCGGGAAGGGGTCCAGACTTCTGAAGGGTATGACGCGCAACACAAATTACGCCGCTGGGGGTTTGGGAAGGTTTCGCGCCGTTTTTCGGGCTCCTGTGGCATTCCCTGGGCTCAGGGGCCGTCGGAAAGCTGCTCGGGATGCGAGGCTTGCTGTTCCTGGGCGGCGGCGCTTCTGGGGGATACAGGGCCCACTTCTTTCGAGACCTCCTTCCCCTCACGGCACAGGTTGAGGCGATCCTGCTCGGCGTGCTCCGCTGGTCTGTCTGACCAGGCCACGCCCAGGCAGGACGGCAGGCCGCGATCGGTGCAGGGAAAGCCGCGCCAGACTGCGGTGCAAGGCCGTCCTGGCTTAATATCAGGATATTCTGACGTTGCCCTGCCTGAGGTGATTTAAGTGATGGGTTTGCAGCGGATCTGCAGCCGATGCAATGGACACCAGCTGCCCGTGCCCCGTGTCGGCAAGCACGTGGCCAAGCTAGGCGTTCCAGCGGGCCGTGAGGCCTGGCGCCTGGTAGTCTTCGAAGCCTGCCGGCGAGTGATCTCAATGGGCGACGGGGGGCCTGCAGGAATTGGGCGGGTCAGGCGACATCAGGGGCAGCGTTTTTTCTCGATCAGGGGTTCTCCCCCCCCTCCCCCATCCCTCCCCCGTCCCTCGCGGGAGATGGAGGAGGAGGAGGAGGAGGAGGAGGAGGAGGAGGAGGAAGACCAAGAGGAGGAGGAGCAGAAGGGAATGGACGAGGAGATGGGGTGGTCGGGGAGGGGGATGTTCAGGAGCGAAGAGCAAGGAGCGAAGAGTGAGGGGGGAAGGAAGGACGAGGGAGGAGCGAGGTTTGGATGGGCGGGGCGGAGGATGTGAGGAGAATTGGTGTGGGGGGGGGAGGGAGCAGGTGGCGGGGCGTGCTGAAGTGTTCAACCCGGAGGAGCCAAAGCGTTGAGTGCGGGGCGTGGGTGCCTGTGGACCGATTTGCGTGTGCGCATTCCACGCTCGGGTCCCTCAGCGAACACGCGCCGCTTCCTCGGGGGACGCGATTCCTGGGTGCCCCTTGGGGTTGTCTCTGGCACCTCCAGGTCGTCTTGGAGGTCTCTCTCTTTCGGGGTTGTCTGAGGTCCTCATTGGGCGGTCTTGGGGCCTGCATGGGACGTCTGGGGCCTCTCAGGTGGCCGTCCTGGGCCCGCTGTGGCCACTTTCGGGCCGTCTTGAGGCGTCCATGGCCTTCCGTGTAGTTTCGAGCGCTCTGAACATAGAAACGATGCCAATGTGTAAATCAGCATTCTGGGGTTGAACGTGTTTGCCTCTTGTGGAGCCTCTTGGGCTGTCGTGAGAGCCTCTTGTGCCGTCCTTGGATTTGGGCCATCCTGGGCCCTCTCTAGCGGCTTCTTGACGGCACAGTGTGCCCGTGCATGGATGGTACAGTGGCTTGGGTGGGCCGCGTGGATCCCGCGGGCGCTAGGGTCGTGTGGAACCTCTCGAGTGTTGCTCTTGGCTCATATGTAGGTCCTCGTGGGGCACGGCGGTCGCTTTCCGAGTAGACGGCGGGATGCTGTGGATGGGGAAGACGTGCAGCAGGAGGAGGAGGACGAGGAGGAGGAGGAGGAGGAGGAGGAGGAGGAGGAGGAGGGGAGGAGGAGGAGGCGGAGGCGGATGAGGGGGAGGGGGAGGGGGTGGAGGAGGGAGGGAGGAGGAGGAGGAGGAGGAGGAGGGAGGAGGAGGAGGAGGAGGAGGAGGAGGAGGAGATCAGGAGATCAGGAGCGTGAGGGCGCCGTCTGACTAGCAAACAGCGCCTCGTGGGACCTCATGTGAGGTCGATGACCAGGCCGAACGACACGGCGTCGAGCCTCCGCCTGCGCCTCGGCGCCGCCCGCCCAAGGCGGGGTGGGCCGCGCCGCTGCCGTGGGGGCCGCCGCCTAGCCCTCCTCGCCGCTGAGCTGGGCGAGGGGCTCGGCGGTGGCCGGCGAGGAGGGCTGCGGGATGTACCTGGCCACCTCCTCCTCGCTGCTGGGCCCAGCAGCGCCCGCGGGCGGCCTCGTCGCCGCGCCAGCTGCGCCAGGCTGGCCACCCGCGGTGGGGGCTCGCCTCCTGCTGCTCGCCGTGCCAGGCGGAGACAACCTCCTGCAAGTCTCTGACCTCGGAGCCGCGGTGTGCCTGGCCCGCACCTCTGCTGGAGGCGTCGTTCGCCCACTTGACCCAGGCCTGCTGCTGCCGCCTGAGCGCCTCTTCGTACTGGCCGTTGGCGTACTCCACTGCGCTGGCAGCCTGCCCCACGAAGCCCTCCGACTTGAGGGCGAGCAGCTGCTGCTGGAGAAAGTTCAGAACCCAGTGCGGCACCAGGGCGAGCGTGCCGCGGTGTTGCGCTGCGATCTCCCGCATATAGGCGCCCGCCTCCAGCAGGGGCGCCGCCAATTTTGTCGTGCTGACTGGCTTCGGGTGTCCACGGCGAGTCGGCAACGTGGAGTCGACGGAGGGTTTTGGCGACATGCGCCCGGGCCCCCATCGCGTGGCGAGCCCGCCTCGACGCGGCGCGACATGCCAGCGCGCGCCGCCCAAGCAGGGTGCGGCGACGAGGGGGTCTCCGCGCGACGGCGACGAGGGCCGTCTCAAGAGCACCAGACCTGCCGACGTACATAGCCCTGTCCGCCTCCAACGTGGTTGTAGCGGTCCAGCGGTTCTCGTTCGATGGCCTCAACCACCGCGCCCCAGGCCGCGGGCAGCTGCGTGGCGCTCGCTACGGCCCGCACCTTGGCCAGTGGCCGCCGCCAGTCCTCCGCCCAGCGGCTGCAGCCGAGAGGCGGGACAGGCCCGATGGGCCTCGGCCCTCGGACCACGCGGACCTTCATGGGGAGATCCTGGGCCTGCGCCGTGACCGCCACAGGGAGGTGCGGTGCTGTGGCGCCCTCCTCGAACACCTGCGGCTTGCCCAAACGCGGCGCCAGGTTGGCCGCGTGCAGGAAATTGTCGATGGTGGACCACGCGCTGACCCGCGGCCTGCAGGCAGCCGTGTCGGGCGCAGCCCACAGCCCTCGCACGTCGTGGACTAGCTGCATGGGGGGCGTCTCCGCCGACCCGGGGAAGTCGCCGCCCACGACCCAGCCCAGCCCCGCCGCGTTGAGCCTGGCTGGGTAGCGCACGAGGATCATCCCGAGCCGCTGGTTCTCCTCGTTCCAGCCGGCGCTGTCGAGCAGGTGCGCCGAGACCGCGACCAGGCCCCCAGCCGCTCCACAGTGCACGTGAGCCGCCACCAGGCGCGCCTCAGTCAGAACAGGGCTGTCCAGGAAAGGAGGGCTGGTGACGACGACGTGGGTCCGCGCCAAGACCGCCACCCCGCCAGAGATGTCGTCGCTCCCGCAGGCGCCTGCGGCGGCCGCGGCCCAGGCGCCCGCGTGGCCGTGGTCCAGCATGGCGTGTTGCAAGGAGGCCAGCCTGTCGTGGTGCTCGTGGACCAGCAGCACCACCGGTCGGAGTGCTGGCGCAGCCCCTCAACATACGGCGCGAAGCAACCACCCGCCGTGACATTCATAGTGACAATGCTGCCCGTTGCCACGGTCGGGAGCCGCGCGCTGGAGACCAGCGGCGCCTGATTGAGGCTGGAAGCCGCCGCGCCAAAGCGGTGCAGCGGGCGCGCGCAGCCTCCTCGTCGCCCTCGTGCTCCAGTCCGACCTGCAGGTGCTGCTGGAGCTGCTCCAGGGACTCCTGGCGGGGCTGCCGCCGCCTCGCGTCCTCCGCGCCCGCGGCCGCGGCTGCCGACCCGCTGGGCGGGGGCGGCGGCCTGCGCAAGTCCGCCCCCCGCGCTGCCGTCCGCGGCCCCGTGCTCTTCGCCCGCGGCCGCCTCGGCGGCGGGGGGCCCCGCTCGCCGTGCCCGCTTGGAGACGTGGAGCTCGGCGAGCCGCTCGCCCGGCACCCCCGCCGCCCGCTGCTGCGCCGCTGCTGGGACAGGCTGCGCGTCGCCAGGGTGCTCGGCCAGGGGCGCCCGCGCGATGGCCTCCAACCCCCCGGCCGCGATGCCGAGCCCGCCGATGACGTCCGACGCCATGGCCTGGCCAGCCGCGCGGGGGGGCGGCGCCTGCGGGGCCGGCTGCTGGAGCGTAGCCAGCTCCGTCTGCAGCGCCGCCTGCTGCGCGAGGAGCTCGGCGTCCGCCTGCTCCGTGCGCTGCGCCTCCCCCTGCGCCCTCCTGGAGCGCCTCCTTGGCCATGCGCATCGCGCCGTCCGCCCTGTCCGGCCGCTCGGCACACTGCTTTGCCCTGTTGGCGCTGGCGTGCGTACTGGCGTGGGGCGGCTTGTTGGCGAACAGCTTGGCCTTCGCCTTCTCGAGCCTGGCCCGCAGCTCGTCGCGCGGCGCCTTGGCCCAGCCCGCTGCCGCGTCCTTGAGCGCCTGGAGGCCCGCCTCGCACTCCTTGACCTCGGCGGCGGCGCCGTCGTCGACCACCATGTCTTGGGCCCCCGCGAGCTGCGGACCCCCGCCGCCAGCGCCGCTGGCGCCCTTGAGCTGCTTCTTGGGCTCCTGGAGACCCCGCTGCGCCTGCGCCAACCGCACCGCGAGCGGGGGGCCTCCAGCCCATGGTGGGAGCTCGCCGCTCGCCGCCGCAGGCTGCTTCGCCGCCTTGCCAGGCTTGGGCAGTGGCACGTTCGCCCCGAAGCACGCGTGCTTGGGCAGCCTGCACGCCTGGCACTTGAGCGCCGTCTCCCAGTTGACCACCGCGCGCCCACGCTTGTTGACGCAGGTCTTGCAGGTCCAGTCCTGGCGCACGGGCCCTTTGGCGCGCGGCCCTCCGCCCGCCATCTGATGGCCCTCGGGGGGGCCGAGGCGAAATAGAGTTGAGCGGCAGCTCGCGGCTGAGGATGCTGCAAGAACACGGATACTCTTGATGGGAGCCAATCCCACTGCGGCAGTGATGGAATCGCTCGCTATTTGGCCTTGAGCCAAATGGCTACGGAGAGGAGGAGGGGGAGGATGAGGATGATGATGATGATGAGGAGGAGGAGGAGGAATGGCCACTGCATAGTTTTCATATCCCCGAACAGAGCAATTTGCACCACGGCCACGACGACCACAGCTGAGATGAGGCACGCCTATGGTCCACACCGAAACACAGTTTTTTTGAAAAGGGCCACCTTGGGAGATTAGGTCGGCAACCCTCATCGATTCTGCAAGTTCTGCCTCGGGAGAAAAGCAATGGCAACATAATGGAGATCATACTCATGCGACCGCCCCGGCTGGTACGCATTCAGGGCAGGCTTCGGATAATCCCACATTATACAAGCATTTGCCATCAAACGTTTTGAACAAAGCTTACGTTTGGGGCGATCCGCGTCACTGTAGTATGGCTTTCTCGCCCTCCCCTCCCCTCCTCCCTCTCCTGCTCCTGCTCCTCCCCCCCCTCGCTCCTCCTCTTCCTCCTCCTCCTCCTCCTCGTCCGTCTCCTCCTTTTCGCTTCTCCTCGCCCCACCTCGCACCTCCTCATCCTCATCCTCAGCCTCCTCATCCTCCTCCTCGTTCCTCTCCCTCCTCCTCGCTCCTCCTCCTCCTCCGCCTCCCCCTCCTCCTCCTCCTCCCCCTCTCCTCCTCCTCCTCCTCCTCCTCCTCCTCCTCCTCCTCCTCCTTCTCTTCCTCTTCCTCTTCCTCCGCTCTCTTGCCTCGCCCGTCCTGCCTCCACCATCCTGCCTCCTCCTCCCCCTCCTCCTCCTGTTAGTTCCCGCTGTCTCAAGCGCCATAAAAAGGGGGGTCCGTGCCCCGAAGCACAGCGCGGCCGCCGCCGGCGGTCGACGTCCGACGGCCGCCGCTCTTTCCAGCTGCTGGCCGCCGGGCACCACCTCTTTCCAGCAGCCGTCTTTCCAGCTGCTGGCCGCTGGGCATCCCTTGCCCCTTGCAGTGGGCGCTTTTGGCTTGTGGGTGTGGCGTCACGCCACCGTTCTCGTGCGGGTGTGGCGTCTCACCACCTCTTCTCGTGTCGGGCCTCGTATCCCTTGGCCTGAGCCACTTGGTTCTTTGGCCTGTGCCCCGCACGTTCTCCTGCGTGGGCGCCGTGAGGAGGCCAGACGGATGTGGTTCCCCGCCGTTCGCGTCTGGCTCTTTGGCATCCGCAGGTTTCTCGTGCGGATGTGGCGCCTCACCACCTTTCGCGCATTGTGAGGGGGCCAGGCGGATGTGGTTCCCCACCTTTCGCGTCTGGTTCCTTGGCATCTGCAGGCTTCTCGTGCGGATGTGGCGCCTCCCCACTTTTCGCGCACGGAGCCTTCCAGGGGTCTTCGTTGCAGTCATGGTCGTGGGGGGCGCGCGGGTGTGGCGTCCCACCACCTTTCTCGCACTCCTTGTCAGACGTCGCGTCCTTTGTCCTGAGCCTCGTTGTTCGTTGGCCTGTGCCTCGCATGTTCTCCTGCGTAGGCCTTCTGCTTCCTTGGCATCTGCAGGCTGCTCGTGCGTGGTCGTGGGGGGGGGGCAGTCGATGGGTTGGGCCGTTGTCGGTGTTTGACTGGGTTGGGTGTGGGGCTGAGGGTCACACGTCATTGCCTCCATGCAGCGACTTCAAGTGGGATTCGCCGCGGTCCCACCTCGTCCCGCTATGGCTAGGGGTCACAGTGCCTTCGGTGGGGGCGAACCCCAGGCCTAGTGCTTGGTTGTGTTGTGCGGGGCTGGGTCACATCTGCCCTGTGCTCCGCCTGGTCGGCGTTCAGGTGAGCTCCTCCTCCGTCATCGGGATGGTGGGGGTGGCGAGCTAGGGCGGACCGCGGGGGCGCGGGTGGTGGCCGTCCCACCCCCCCCTGTCCCGCACCATCCCCCTTGGCGGGCGCGGGCAGGATCCGTCCTGCCCCCCCCCCCCCCCCTCAGCCCTTGTAGCCCGTCTCGAAGTTTGATCCTTGCCTCTCCAGGGCGTCCGCGAATGGGTCTGTTGGTTGGTGCTGGGTTGGGTGATGGGCGCTAGTTGAGGTCGGCTTGCGTGGGGAGCGTCCGCTTACGTGGCGACTTGATCCTGGGGTGTTCCCACGCATTCGGGGCGTCCTCAGGACTTGCGTCCTAACGCCTGCAGCTCAACGTGGCGACGTTGTCTGGGGTGTTCCTTCGCATTCGGGGCTTCCCCAGGACTTTGCGTCTGACGCCGCGGTGTGTACAAGCCATGCCTTGGTGTGTAGAACTTGCGTTTGTCGTGGCAGTACGTCTTGGCTGCTGTGGGCGCGGGAAGCTAGTAGGCGGCATGTGGTGGATGGTGAAGGCATGCTGGTGTGCCGTGTGTCGGTATGCTATGGCAGGGTAGGTAGGCAGGTGTCCAGGGAGGTATTCTGGACTGCTTGATGTGCCTTGGCTGCGAGCTGCGATGCTGTTGCTTTGGTCGGGTGCTAGTTGGTAGGGTCGTAGCCATCGTTGCTGCTGTGATGATTGGTCAGGTAAGGTAGTGCATGTTTGTCGGTGGGCCGCATGCAGTGGTGAGTCGGTGGCGTGGTTGCTGTGCTGGTGGTTGTCGGTTGGTGCTGCTAGTGCGTAGTGTGAGGCGTCGGGGGAGAGGCCTTGCTGCTAGTTCAGGTTGTCCGCTCCAGCCCTCGCGGCCTGACTGAACAGGGGCTCGTGCGTACATGTGCAACTCGTACCAATATTGTATGTCCGATAACCGCATTCGCCCACTGAACTTGTGCAGGATGTACATGGTTGATGCCTGCGGTGGGCGCGGGACCTGAGCGATGGGCGGCGGTGGGTCGTTGTGACATGTCCATGCTGGCGTTGCCGTCCGAGAGGTCGCTGTCGTCGTCCAGCTCTGGTGGTTGGACTTGTCAGACTGGTCGCTCGGCCCAGTCGCTGGGTCGTCCCGCTTGTCGGTTCTGTTGTTGCTGATGCCGAATCGCCCGCTGTCATACCTCATGATGATACGGCAATGGTGTCGGCAGCCGTCTCCGCATGTGGTCGGCGCAGCGCTTGACCTTCAGGAGGTTCTTAACGATGCGGTTGGTAGTGTGGTAGTCGCGTCCGCATCCCACGCATAGAGAGGTTTGTTCCCATGTGGCTGGATGGTTGGCAGTGGTATGGAAACGAGTGTTGTGTGCTCGAAGTCGCTGCTTGGTGGGTCCGGTGTGCCCACATTCGTAGCATACGTAGGTCGTGGTGTGCGCTGGCTCTTGTCAGTTGAATGCTGGGATGGCGTGGGTGTTGGTCAAGGCGACAAGCCGCTTTCGCCATCGTTGTAGGTGATCGTGGTCGTATGTTGCGAGTCGTGCCCTATATGTAGCATCTTCTTGACGTGGTTGGCGAGCTTCGTTCGGTCGGTGCGGGCCCAGTCCTTCCAGTCGTCGATGGAGGGCTGGATAGCTGGTTCGTCAGGGTCAGTGTACTCGCGGAGCCATGAGATGTCGTGTCGTATTGCTTCCGTCCAGCCGTCCTGAGCTTCCCACGCCTCCGCTAGCAGCCTCCGAAGATAGATGGTCCCGTGGTTGACTACTCCAGATTTCGTGATAAAGGGAGGGGGGTCTCATTTCGGGGGGGTCTCTTCCAGGCTATCTTGGAGGGCCTGGGGGGTCTGGGGACGATGTTTTGGAGGGTTCTCCCACGGGGTAGGTCTGACATGGCTTGTCATGGAGGGTCCAGACCCCCGCCCTTTTATTACGAAATCTGGAGTACCCTTGTGACGAGTCGGAGCCTCTCCAGGGTCAAGTAGGCTTCGCTGGTGCCCCCCCCGACCCCTTCTAAGATCTGGCAGGTGTTCACCAGCCTGTCGCGCTGCTGCTTCCAGGTTATGCCCTGGGCGGCAGCGTAGTTGGCGAGGTACTGGGCCTCGAACCTGCAGGTGTCGGAGGGTCCAAGTGGCGGCCAGGTGCCCGAGTTGTATGCCAACTGGGGGAGCATGGTGGAGTCCGCGAGGGCAGCCTTGTCGTGGGCCGTTAGTTGCTTGTGCTTGTGCCCCTCGCGGCGTAGTTGTATGGTCGTTGCAGCTGCCTTGGTGACCTTGTGGACCACGTCGACCCCTGGTGAGCCGTCGTCTTCAACCATCGTGCCGATGAGGCGGTGGTGCCTGACGATCTCGACGACGTTGGTGGCCACTGGAACCTCGATGTTCATGGACTCCCGCTGGTAGAATGCCTCCTTGTGGGCCGTGTGGCCAGGCCCGTGACAGCTGATCAGCACCTTGGTCTTCGCCAGTTCGAGCTTCATGCCGAAGGTGTCTGCGGCCACGTAGACGCTCTCGCAGATGACAGTGGTCTCTCGCTCGGCCTGGCTGTGGTGGGGGAAGAAGTGGTGGGTTGCGAGGTCATCGACAAACGAGAGGCCGTGGGGATCCTCGGCTCCTCTTGCAGCTCGTTGTGGTGGTCGTCGTCGCCTTCACAGTTGAATGATTCGTCCATCGGGTTCGCCGCGACGGTGATGCCTTTCTCTCGTAGGGGGGAGGTCAGCATCCTATGGGCCCTGGAGAAACATAGATTGAAACCCGAATCTGCTAGAGGCACGCCAGGCCGTGTGCCTTTCCTGGGCATCATTATCGCTGACATATGCCGATGCGATGTCCATCAATTGCGGCGTCCCTCCGTAACGAGGGCAGACCAGTGGGAGAAATCCGTCGTGCTGTCGAGGGGCCCAGGAGCTTCGAGGAGTCGCTGCAGCTGCGGCGCGATCCACGCGGGCACCTCGACGCTGCTGAGGATGTCCTCCATGTCGTGTTCTTCCCCAGGCACCTGGTGGATGAACTGCAGCAGCACGCTGTAGAATGTTTCCTGGAGGTCGTACGTGCCCGCAACGCATGATCGTCCCTGCCTCTTGGCCCTCTCCATAAAAAGCCTTGTCGCGAGGACCGTCGTGTCTGCCTCGCGCCTTGGTCGGCCGCCTGTCTGGATGCCCTCCAGTATCTGGGCAAGGCAGCCGCTGAGCACCGTCCGCAAGAACATGTGGTGATGCTTGCCCAGCACATTGTTCAACAATATCTCCCTGTGGGCTTGCAGCGTGCGCTCCTCGCCCTTGCCCTTGAGGATGGCTACCGTGTCTCCTCCCTTGAAGGCGAGCGGTTCACGGACTGACGGCGGCTTTCACGAAGAGCGGGTGCAGCATGTCTGCGCATTGGCGGCGCGCTGTGCGCAGCAGTGCATTGGTGAGGCCGTCTGGCCCACCCTTGGGGCCTGGCGCCGCCGAGGGCATCTGGTAGCAGCACACTCTGGAGGGCATCGTCGCCTCGATTTGCAGCTCGCCCTTGAAGAGCCTGCTGTCGCTGTCCTGGTTGTGCTTGTCGGCCAACTGTTGGGCCATGATCACCTTGCCCGCTTGGGTGGCTGCGAAATGCTGCATCTCTCTCTCGCGGTTGGCGATGTCGTCAGATGTGCTCAGCACTTGGCCATCTTGCCCTAATTCGGAGTGGAAGACCAGCCTTGTAGCGAGCCTTCTTGCCTCCGAAGCGCAGAAGTGCTTGGTGCTGTTGCCATTGGCGGTAGGCGTCGTTCTTCGCTCGGGCGTCCTTTGCTGTAGCCGCTAGGGTGGGCAGGAATTTGCAGCGGTCGTTCTCGATAACGTAGGCCAGCAGGGGGCCTGTCTCGAGCATGAAGGCGCATAGCGCCAGTCTGTATTCTGACGGCAGAGAGGCCCAGCTGATGAAGTTAGCCGCTCTTGTCTGGAGCCGGTAGATGGTGTCACTGATGGTGTCGGGCTCCGCCGTGATGTAGTTGGCAACCTCTCTTAATGTCCCATCGGTGATGGTGGACTTAGCGTGGGCGTAGAGCTTGCTGGGTTGGTTGTCAGTGATGAGTCCGCGCTTGAAGTCCTTGCGGACTCTGTTGGGTCAGGCGCCTCATGCGGATGATGCTCATGGTGCGTGGCGTGATGTGTGGCTTGAGTGTTCTTTTTTGTCGCGCGCCCGTAGGCTTCGAGGGCGGCTTCTTCGATGGTGTTGGTGATTTCGTGGCAGTGGTCGTTGATGTCGCTGTTGAAGGGTGCTGGTGAGGCTTGCTCCAGCAGTTGCTGAAAGCGTGCTTTTGCGTCTGGGTCAGAGAATTTGCAGCTGTCTGGGGTGGGTTCGCCCTTGGTCATCTTGCCGCGTATCTGCCAGCGCGTGGTGGCAAGCACTGGGATATGGTCGTCTGCTGCTACTCCTTTGTCGAACCCAGGGTCGGTGGTGGCTGCGAGCACGTACTTTGCAAGGTGCTCCGACGTCATGATGTAATCGAGGCGGTGGCGCTGGCCTTTCGAGGCTATGTGCGCGAACGATGCCGAGCCTTTGTCCTTATCTCGAGATGGTGCGCCGCTGCAAAGTTGAACAGCCTAGTTCCCGTCTCGTTCATGGGCTCTGGGAAGCCACCGCCTCCTACCCATTCACTGGTAGTCTCGCTGATTCTTCCGTTCATGTCGCCCATGACGATGTCGATGGAGTAGGCGCTGGTGAGGCGGGAGAGGTGGTCCCAGAATTCGTCCTTCTTGGCCCTCTCCGTCTCGTCGTGCGGCGCATCTACTGATGCGATGGTGATCTCGGCGATGAGGACTTTGGTTCTTAGAACCACGATGCGGTCCGATTCTTGCACTGTGAACGGCAGGGTCGTGTTGAGCCAGATGTCGCAGCCTTTGCCGAGGCCATGGCAGCCCGAGGAGTCGCAGGTGTACTGGCCCACTCGTTTCACTTCGCCGTCCGAGCTGGTCTCCTGAAGGGCAGCCACGTGAACGCCCATGTCGGCGAACTGGGCTGCTGGGTGCAGCCTCTTGCTGACTGTGGCCGCTGGACCATTACTGTCAACTGTTGGCTGGCCGGCGGCCTGCCCTTCCGTGGCCCTTGCCGTGGGTCTCTTGCATGGCCACCTTCGCCTGCAACGACCTGGAGTTGTAGGTGCACAGCTCCAGGAACACTTCCGCCTTGATCTGGGCGTCTCGCTGAAGCCGCTGTACCGCCTCTGGGCCAGCCTTGGGCTGGGTGGCGGGGACCACGGGCTGGCCGTCGACCATGGGCGGCCAGGCTGCGGCCTGCCTGACGTCAGCGTTGCGCCTCCACTCCCATGGTAGCAGCTTGCTGGCTGTGACTGCCTTCAGCGCGGTGTTGTCGTAGCTGATGCTGAGGCCCTTGGCAGCTTGGTCGGCCACTCCGTCCTCGAGCTCGTTCCATGGGTGGCCGATGTGCGAGTTGATATGTGCCCACGTGAGTGGCAGCGCCCTGACCTGGAAGGTGGAACCTAGCTTCTCGCGAGCATGGCATGTGGCCTCCACCTTGCCGAGCATGATCACGTTGAGGGCATCTGGCGTGATTGTCACTGGGTTCGCTTCCTGCGGGGAGGCTGCCCACAGCATGGACCAAAGTCCTGCAGTAACCTCTGCAGTGTAGGCCGTGAACTTCTCCTTGTCCATCATGTGGTCTGTGGTGTCGAGCTCTTTGCCAGAGCCCGAGGAACCCGGACTTTCCTCCGTCCCTGTCGTCGCGATACTCGGCGACGACGATCACTGCCCAAGCTGCCGTTGTTGGACTGCTGTCGTAGCGCCCGTCGGTGTACAGGCAGTAGCACTTTCCTTTGCAGTCCGGCTGGGGGCACATCTTCAGGGCCAGCTGTCCTGTGGAGCACCGTGCGATCGAGCTGCGTGGCCAGCTGCAGCTGCCCCATCTGGCGCAGCTTCTTTATCGGCGACACGTGATCCAGCACTCGCATGACTGCCGCGTTGCCTTCGGTGGGGGCCTGTGGTTGGGCTCCAGCTCCAGGTGGCTGAGCAGGCAGCGGCCGTCGCTGTCGCTGCCGGCTGTCCTGCTCCGCTGCAGCGTGCTCAGACTGTTCTGACTGAGCTGGCTGGGCTTCGGCCAGGGGGCCACCGACCGCCGCGGAGCTTCCTTTAACCGGCCTCATGGCTGGCCTGGCTGGTCTCAGGGTGGGCCGCCACCCCTGCTGACTTTCCCGCTCATACTGCGGGGCGTCGATCTGCGAGTGCTGGTGATGTGAGCTTGGTTGTCTAAAGGGCATCATTGCTGGTTTTTTGTTTGCAGTGCTGGTTTTGGGTTGGTCGGTTGCATGATGGGGGCGGTGCAATGGTGGTCAGGCCAGAGGTATGGCTGCTTGTTGCTTTGGGTCGGTTGGTCCGTTGGTCGCAGTGTAAGTGCTCTGCTGGTATTTGTGGTTTGTGTTTGTGGGTCGCACTCGGTAGGCCTCCATGCACCGACTTCAAGTGGGAGTCACTGCGGTCCCACCTCGTCCCGCTATGGCTAGAGATCACGGTGCCCTCGGTGGGGGCGAACCCTAGGCCTTGTGCTTGATGTTGCTCGTGGTGGGCTGGGTCGCAACTGCCCTGAGCTCCGCCTCCTTGGCGTTGGGGTGAGCTCCTCCTCCGCCGTGGGAATGGTGGGGTGGCGAGCTATGGCGGATCACGGGGGCGCGGGTGGTGGCCGTCCCACCCCCCCTGCCCCTCACCATCCCCCCTGGCGGGCGCAGGCAGTCCTCGTCCTGCCCCCTCCCCCGCACTTCGAGCCCGCCTCTAAGTTGGGTCCGTTCCTCTCCAGGGCATTGGCGACTAGGTCTCGTTGTTGCTTGGTGCTGTCGTTGGGTGGCTGTCGTTGGCGCGGGTGGTGCTTCTGTGCAGGGCGTACGGTGAGGTCGTCATCGTCAGTGAGTGGTGCGAATCCGTTGCTGATTTGGAGTGGGGTGGCGCGCTGGTGCTTGCGGTTGGTCGGAGCCTGCGAAACTGCCTTATCCGTTGTCTCCGATCGGCGTCGTTCTTGGCGTCGCGGGGGTAGTTGGGCTGGGCAGGAGCCTGGTGTTCGGGAGTCCGTTGCTTGCCGTCGAGGAAGGTGGACTCGATGCCGTCAAGCTCGTGGTACTGGAGGCCCTGGTGGTTGGTCGTGGGTGTGCTAAGCTGAGCTAGTTGGGCATTGTCGGTGCCGTCGTTCGTGTTGCTGCAGACTGGTGCTGCGATCTCGGGCGTTCCGTCGTGGTGGGTCGAGTAACGTGTGCCGCCATCACCGTTGCCCAAGATTGTAGAACTAGCTGGTGCTGATGTAGCCTGTGTAGATCGGGGTGCGGCTCCCTCTTTCTAGGGTGCCTTCGTGCTAAAATAGCTGGTCGCCTGTCGGTTGCGACTCCCTGGCGAGGCCTTGTCGGGAGGGGGTTGATCCCACGTATCCCACCTGGCTGTGGGAGGCTGGCTGTCGATCTCTTCCTTGGGAGATCGGTTGTGGTATGTGAGGAGGCCGCTGCGGCCTTGCTCACGCTGCCGCACGGGCTGCAGGCGTCGTATGCCGTCCTGAGGGAGTGTCTTAGGTGGGCGTGGTGCTGTAGGTCGGCGTTCGTTGCTGTGCCCAGTGAGGCCTGGTGCACCGTGCTGCGTGGGTTGCTTTGGGCCGTCCTGAGGGGGTCGCTCAGGTGGGCATCGAACTAGGGGATCCCCGCGGTAATGCACTCTCGAGGCGATCGGTGGTGAGTGTTGAGACGGCTTGTCGGTCACTCGATTGAATGGGCAACTGCCGCTGTCATCCTGAGGGAGTGTCTCAGGTAGACGTCGGTTCGCTGTGTCGCCGAGGTCTTGCACTCGAGGCGACTGGTGCAGCTGGACTGTGTGATCGGCTAGGTGTTGGCCTGCGAACATCGCTCCCCTGATGTTGTGGTCAGAAGCCGTCAGTGAGGCCTTAGGGGAGTCGCCTCGGTGCCTCAGTGAAGTCTGCGCTGCTGCTAGTTGGGCCTGTGTTCCCATGGCTGGTGACACGTTTTGTTTGTTTGTTTGTTGTTTTGTAAGTATTGTTTTTCTTATTATATATATATATATATATCGTTTTGGGTGTTTAGCTGTCTTGGTTGTTGGTCCGTTGCAGACTGTCGTGGCCGTGAAGGTGGCGGGTGGGCGAGGGTCTGATGCGCTCCCTAGTGGATCTGTCGCTGATGTCTGGTGTATGACCACCCAAGGCCCTACATCGTCGGCGACTCTGCCCGTGGTGGTGAAACTGTTGGTTACGCATGACTGTTCTCGGCCAGTCAGGAGCCGTGGGCCACAGGAGATCACATGCGTAGCTTCAGCGCTGCACGAGTCGGAGAAGCAGGGCTCATGGTCCTGTGGTGCCGCTGGTGTCAGGTAGCTGGGGCCATGCTGAGCCAGTTGCCCCTCAGCCGGCGCTCTCGTACTCAGTTTGTTGGGGTAGGCCAGGCGACATCAAACCCGTCGCTCTCGCCGCTCTCGAGGAACTTGGGGTGCCTGCCACCAGGGTCGGCGAAGCCATCGCCCATGTCGCGGATCCTGACCTTCCTGGGCTGATTTTTGGCACGTCCCCGTCCTGTCTCCCGTCGCATCGAGCTTCTGAGCGGGGGCTCAGAGTGATGTCGACGATGGGGATCCTTGGTGGCGTAGCTGGTGCTTCCTGCCCTTCAGTGCTCAGGTCGATGAGGATCCTTGTGGTGGGGGTGCTGGCGTGTTGCAAGTCTGGTTTGGGTAGTGGGGCTGGGAGCTGCGCCACGGGTGGGAACGGCGTCGCCCATGGAGTCTGCTGCTCAGTCGGTATGGGCGTGTTGGCGTCGATCGTTTGGGTAATTTCTGCCAGGTCGGTGGGCGTCGGAGTGGGCGGTGGTGGGTTCTCGTCTCGAAGGTCGGCGTCGTCCGTGTCGCCGACTGGGGCCATCTGGGAGTCCTCCATGATAACAGGTCCCTGTTGTGGCGGTGGAGTTGCGAATGACGGTGGCGGCGGCGCCTCCCTCGACCGAGAGGCTGTGTTGCTCTCTGTCGGTGCGACTCTGATGTCTTGCAGGCGGAAGTCGCTGGCGGGCGTAGTCGAAGGCCTCGACGAGGTGTGCGATCTCTCGCCAAATGAGCAGGCAGCAAGCTCATACGCATATGCCGCTGCGTCCTGGTGCGGGCGCTCGAACTCCGTACCAGGGAGGATGGCCATCAAGTTGTGCTCGAACTCCTCGCGTTGGTGATCCTCCTCCTGAGCTGCCAGCGCCTGGTCGCGATCCATGCCTGCGTCTTCGTCCGCCAGCTTAGCCGCAATTTCGTCCAGGATGTCCAGCTCCAACGTCTCGCCCGTCAACATGCTCGACACGAGAGCGCGCCTGCGGGCGCTGTTGAGCTTCGCTATCTCCTGCTCGTGGCGGGCTTGCATCTCCTGCTGCTTCCTCGCGTTGTCGTGCTGGACCCACTGCAGGTGCTGGTAGGCGTCGTGTTGTGCTTGCTCTGCCTGTTGTTCGAGGTGGCGGTGGCTGGCACGGTGCTACTCCAGCTCTGTCTGGCTGACGGCAGTCATGTACTGGCGGTGGCCTTCGCACGCTTGCCAGGACTCCTCCACGGTGCGCCGCTTGCCTTGCTGGTAGGCTTCTGCCTGCTCCGTGCCGAACTCGACGAGGCATCTCTCCTGCTGCGCGTGGTTCGTCTCCATGACCGCCTGCCTGGCCTGGAGCTCGAGGATCATCTGTTATCCAATCCGGGCCTCCTGTTGGCCCAGCTCCGCTGCGTGCTTCGCCTCCGAAGCTCGTGCCTGCTGGGCGATTGCTGCTAGCGCTTCACCTTCTAGCTCAGCGTGGGTCTGGTGGCAGTGCTCTCTCTCTCTCTCTCTCTCTCTCTCTCTCTCGGCGCAGCATGCTCCGCATCTGCCGCAGTGCTGCACCGGCCTCATCCTGCTGGTGCTGCTGGTTCCCGCTCTGCCACTGGCAGTATGCGGCCTGCTCGTGCTCGAGTTCGCGGTGGTCGGCACTCCTGATGTCGTCCACTTCGCGTTGGTGAGCTCTCTGTTGGCACTCCAGCTGCTCGGAGACTGCGTGCAAGGTCTTCTGAGCCATGGCCTGCTCGCAGTTGCGCAGTCTGGCCATCTGACTCTGCTCCATCTCCCTCAGCTGGGCCTTGAGCGTTGCCGTCTCCTCTGGATGGCCCGCAGGCTGAGGAGCCGCTGGTGGCCCATGGCGGGCCACTGCCTGTGGCAGGGATTCTGGGCCCTGCAGCTGCGTTGCCCCGGGGGGCCTGGCTGGCGCTGGTTGCGATGTGTGAGCACGTCCTCGTCCTCCACTTCCGCTCCGTCCAGCTTGATCCGCGTCTGCTTCGGTTTCCGACTCCGAAGGCGGGCCATTGGCTGCGGTCCTCGCCATCATGTCCTTGGATCCGCGGATCAGCACCTTGTATATCCGCACGACCCTCGTGGCCTTCGCCTCCTCGTCGGGCTGAGCTGCAATCCTGGCTTGGAGGCTGATGAGCTCCTCTTCGGCCCGCTCCAGGGTGATGCGCAGCTGGCGGATCCTCTCCTTTGGCGGGACCGCGAACGTGAGTTCGCTGCCGTGACCGCTGCCTCGTACTCCAGGTTGGTGGCAGCCACACCGGCGGATCGGGCTCCTGCGAAGTTGTCTGCCAATCCTGCGAGGCGCTGGCTACGGGTCTTCCGCCACACCTCGAGCATTTCTGGGTCGGACGGCCGCGAACTCCACGACTCGTGGCCCTGCGCCTCCTCGCAGGACACTGG